CTGGGGGACCTACGGGAGCCGGGCAGCCCTGGTAGAATGGGACTGAGGGATGGGACAGAGAGGTGCAGGAGGGCCAGGGTGCGAGGGCAAGTGGAGTGAGGAAGGCGCAGAGCGAGTTGTGCAGGTATGCCAGCCTGGCTCCTCTGACCAGCTTGCCTCTCCGTGTGCCTGTCTTCAGCTTTTATTTGGACAGCTTTACTGGTGTGGTATTCCTGGTTGGCACTGTTTTTCTTTCAGCACTTTGTGTCTCTCCTATATTGCAGTTTCTGCTGAGAAATCTGCTGAGAGCCTGATGGTCGGTTCCCCTTGTATATGAGAATTTTTTTTCTTTTGCTGCTTTTGAAATTCTTTTTCTTTAATTTTGATAATTTTATTATAATGAGTCTGGAAAAGATTGTTTTGGGTTTAAATTTTTTGGAGATTTATGATTCATAAACTTGGCTGTCTAAATCTTCATAGTTTTGGGAAGTTCTCAGCCATTATTTCTTTAAGTAAGCTTTCTGCCCCTTCCTCTATCTCGTTTCTTTTTGTGACTCCAATGATGTTTAGATTGTTCTCCCCCTTTTCTTCTTCTTAATTTTTCTTAATCCGTCCCTGAGGATATGTTTTCATTGAAATTAAATCAAAGGACCTGTTTCTGCTTCATAGTTGATTTTAGTTGTTGTGGTTTGTTACTGAAACTTGTATTGCATTGTTAAAATTGTATTTCTTGTATTCTTTAGCTCCAGAATTTTGTTTGCTGCTGCTTTATGATCTTTTCTTTGTTTTAAACGTCTCATTTTGTTCATGTTTTGTTTTCCTGATTTCATTGAATTGTCTTTGTGTTGTCGGTAACTTACTAATCTTCCTTTAAACAACTACTTCATATTTATGGCAAATTACAGAATCTCCATTTCTTTAGGGTCCTTTACTAGGAAATTGTGTTCTTTTGCTGATGTCATTTGCCCTTGATTTTTCATTTTCTTTGAAGTCTTATGTTGTTGTCTTCACATTTGAAGAATCAGTTATCTTATAGTCTTTACTTTTTGGCTCCTGGAGAGAAATGTTTCCTGTCAGCCCTGCTAGGGATTCTGATTTCTCAGACCTTCATATCTGTTATGCCTGTTCCACATATCTTACTCCCGCTTTGGGGGAATTCTTAAAATGGCATGTCTTCTTTCAATTCTGCAGAGCTAGACTGAGCCTGCCTCATGTTTGCTTTCCTAGGGCAGTGCTTAATGCTCAAGTTTGTGTGGTTTCACCCAATCCCAGAGTCAGTCCTGCTGTCAGCAGTGCACCCATGGAATCAGCCATGGGGGGGGGTGTGCCTGAGTAAGCCATATGGAGCACTGGGGGTGGCCATTGACCAGCTGGGGTGATTATAGGTTAGGCATCCCCAGCAGCAGTCGGTGGGTTTCCTGATGGAGTCAAGCAGCAGTTAATAGGGTTACATCCAATTGATGTCATCCAAGAAATCAGGCTACTGTTACCTGTCCCCTTTTTCTGTACACTTGGTATTTTGGATGGGGTAAAGAAAAAGACTGCCTCTTTGACAGTGTCCTGCATATATGGGGAAGCTGGAAGATCACTGATAGTCTCATTTTTCCCATGGGAGAAATCACAACCAAGAAGGCTCTCTTGGCATAGCTGTGTCTAGGGCAGGGAGGAGTGATGTGAATAAAGTAAAATTATTCCTCTTTACCTATAATGTGTCCAGTCTCGGGGTTTTTTCTTTTCTGCTTAACAAGTGCTGGAACTTCTCCACTGGACTCTTGGACTTCCCCAATGCTAGAATCTGTGGGTGATAGTCTCAGTCCTTTTAAAAAGCTAAGAAGGTTGGTTTTTTGGGGGGGGTGTAGGGAATTTGAAGAAACCTTAAATGACAGATGACTTTTTTTCTATTCTTAGTTGGGTTAATTTTATGTTTCATTTATTTACTTATTTATTCAAAATAGTATTTTAAAGAGTTAAAAGAAATATAAAGCCAGAGTTTTGGGGGGATGAAGTACTGACACCTTATTTAAAGCAAGTACACTTTCCATTTTCTTGTGGTTGAAAAAAATATTAATCATCATGGTAATACTGGTCATCAAACAAGTGCTCTTTATTTGAAGTATTTTGAACAGTGTAAAATATACTATTTTTTTTTTAAGATTTAAAAAAAATATATCTTTATTGATTTCAGAGAGAGGGAGAGAGAGAGAAACATCAATGATGAGAGAGTCATTGATCAGCTGCCTCCTGCACCCCC